GCGATCGGGAAGGCGGCCATAGCAGAGCGGGATTTCACAGTCCAGTTCTCCACGCACAGGCAGAGCTCACTGAGAACCGAGACCCTGAGGGCCCAGAAGGAGACTGGGTACTGCCAGCAGGGGCAAGGAGGGAGGAGGCCTGCACGTGACAGCAGTGCAGCCACATGGACCTGGCGAGGCAGGCAGGTCTGATTCTGGAGGGGCTGGTGCAGGTGTTCCTGTGTGACACTGAGGTCATCTCCCCCCAGCCAAACACTCAGGCCCAGCATTGACCTTCACCGTGGTGTGCACGGATCACCCTTTGTACCAAACAGGCAGTCCCCACCTCAAAGAACCACACAATGTTGTTCTGGTCCCCCTTGGGCTGCATGAGCAGCAGAGAGAGGGAGGGCTGGGCATCGCTCGTGGCCCTGGGTTTAAGCCCATGGTTCTCAGCTGTGTCTACATTTTCTGATCTCCTGGAGAGGTACTGCACGTCCTGATAACCAGACCACACTCAGGCCAATTCCCCCAGCCTCTGCAGGGTCGGTGGGGGTCTGCAGCACTCTCCAGGTGATTTCCATGCGTCCCTGACACTGATGACAGCTGAGCCTTAAGATATGGTATTTCACACACCTGCCGGGCCAACTGTGGCCTCATGTTCAGCCTCTGCTCTGACATCTGGCACTGCATAGGCCAATGTGGCCTAGACAGTGGCTCTAACCCCCTAGAGCCCAGGCCTCCTTCAGCCTTACCTCTCACGGCCTCACCAATGAAGGAGAATCAGCCCTGGCTGCTGAATCCCAGGACAGGGAGGGGTGCAGGGGCCCAAGGACTTGGGCCATCTTCTACTGCTTTCCCAGACCATAGCAGAGAGCTGGATTGGAAGTGGAGTAGCCGGGACTCGAACCGGCGATCATATAGGATGCCAGTGCTTCAGGCAGCAGCCTTACCTGCCTTTTGATGAGTGAGGTGCTGATAATATACTGTATGATTACACTGTGACTGTGCTAATGTTTCCACCTTGGTCCCAGTCTCCAGCAACAGGACTCCCTCTTGTCTGCATGATCTGAGCAGAGGTGGAGGCTGGCCTCAGGGAGCGCTGTGGACAGGTCACCCTTGAACCTCAAAAGAACACAGAGTATCTGGGGATAAATGTGACTGAGTCAGTGCAGGAGATGGTAGGAGTCCTTGGAAGTTCATTCCTTTTTTAAAAAAAGATTTATTTATTCATTTGAAAGGGAGAGGGAGGGGGAGGGGGAGGAAGAGCGAATCTTCCCTCTGCTGGTTCACTCCCCAGAAGTAACAGTGGCCAGGGCTGAGCCAGGCCGAAGCCAGGGGTCAGGAGCTTCATCTGGGTTTCCCATGTGGGTGCAGGGGCCCAAACTCTTGGGCCATCTTCCGCTGCTTTCCCAGGCACGTTAGCAGGGAGCTGGATAGGAAGCGGAACAGCCAGGACACGAACCAGCGCCCGCACACAGGATGCTGGCACTGCGGGCTGTGGTTTACCCCACTATGCCATGACGCCAGCAGCTGGAAGTTCATTTCTGACTGCAAAACAGGAAGGCAAGTCATCGACTGAGGAGGACCAAGGGGGAAGTGTTGCAAGTAAACTGTGGTCATCCAGGAGAGGGGAAAGTGAGGGAACTTGAGGGGGATAGTGGGTGGTGGGGCGGGCAGTCCTGGCTTATGATGAGACATCAGAGCGCGACCAGCCTCCCTGGGCACATCCGCTGTCACGGCAGACTCGTTTTCCAGGGAGGAGAGAAGGGTGTGTTGTCAGATGCCTGGTGTCAGGTACCGTGAGCGCGCGGGCTTGTAGTCAGCAGTTCGGTGTCACTGCTTCATGGATTCTTGCTGAGCTATGGAATGAATGAATGAATGAATGAATGAAAAGGTCAGAGGAGTCCTGGAACGAGGAGGGAGGGTTGCAGAGCACAGGAAGGGTGTTGAAAGAGAGAGAGAGAGAGACTGAAGGTGAGAGATGGGGAACAACAAGCTTAGGGCCCCTGGGAAGGGCACTGCTGAGTGTAACAGGGCTTTCTCTGAGAGAGGAAGGAAAGGAGAGAACCCGAGGGGCTGGGCCAGGCCAAAGGCAGGAGCTAGGGGCTTCATCTGCATCTCCCACATGGGTGCAGGGGCCCAAAGACTTGGTCCATCTTCTGCTGCTTTCCCAGATCTATTTGCAGGGAGCTGTATTGGAAATGGAGCAGCTGGGATTTGAACCTGCACCCATATGGGATGCCAGCGTCACAGACATAGCTTAACCCACCATGCCAAGACACTGGCCCCTGAATGTGAGAGTCTTAACTGCTGGGTCTAATGCCTGCCCGAGAAGCTAGCTTTTAAAACGGATGCCCAGCTTTCAACCTTGCAAGCAACAGGCCTATTAAGCCAGGCCTTGTACTTTTTGAAATCTCTAATTCCTGGAAGAATCTAAGTGAACTCCCTAGGATGGGGTTATTTTGTTTATTGAAGAATTCATCTTTTGTGTTCTTGCAGCTAAATCCTTCCCCATGTGTACACCACATTGCCTAAGAATGATTCTTGAACTCATTAAGAAAAAAATCCACCTCCAAGCCCATTCCTGCTGGAGAAGCTGCAGCGCAGAAGTGGCCCCCTCGAGGGCCAGAGCCCAGGACACACAGGCCTTGGCTGGTGCACTTTCTATGCCAGGTTCCTGCTTTCACTTCTGGGGATGTGGCCGCCCCTGGACAAAACAAAGATGGTTGGGGAATTCCAGATTGCATAGTCTGGCTTGGGAGAATGCTTTGGGTCACGGTAGCCTCAGCACCTGGCAGCAGAAGCCTGGACTTTGGCCCGTTCCATCTTTTCACACGTAACTGGTGGCAAGTCCCCTGACATAACATCAGAACACCTTTCCGGTAGAGGTTGGGCCACTGATTTCCCATCACCATGAGAAACAAACAGCCACAACAGCTGGGGCTGGGCCAATCTGAAGCCAGGAGCCAGGAGCCTCCTCCATGTCTCCCCACGTGGGTGCATGTCTTCCACTTCTTGCCATCCTCATGCTTCTCATCTTTAGCTCTGTCTAGGTCGTCCAGAAGTGCGTGCAAGAGTGGCAGTGAGAGGTGGACGCCCTTGTCTCGTTCACGGCCTTCTTGAGAGGCACCAGAGTTTCTTCATTGCACCTGCTGTTTGCTATAGAGCGTTCTTTCCCAAACACTTTCCCTCTGGACCCCTCCTCACTCTAAAACGTGTCAGGTTCTCAAGTAACGTTGATTGAAGAGATTCTATCTAAAAATATTTACCATATGAAACAGAAATCTGAAAACATTTGTTAGTTCTGTTAAAACTAAAAAATCAACTAAATGTCTACATAAATAATATACTGTTATGAGAAATAGCTTGCCTCAAACAAAAAATTGGTAAGAAGGGTAACATGGTTTTATATACTTGAACGTCTTTTAGTGTCTGGATTAAGAGATGGTGGCGGATTCTTATGTCTGATTTGCATTCTGTCTGCTGCAATGCATCATGGGGGTAAGCTGTGTGTGAAGACAGCTGTGCACAGATGTGTAGTGTGCAGTAACATTTTCGGAAGCACATGGCTGTTCTTTGACACCAGAACCCAATAAGTCATCGTGCCTTTAAAGACCACTGGCAGTGTGAAGTCCAAAACGTTATCAATGAACCTGAGCGAAAAAGGAAAGACCATGTCTTAGTATTACAAGAAAAGGGATTCTGACCTCACAGATGCCCTGAAAGAGACCGAGGGACCCTTAGTGTTCCCTGGAGCAGTTTGAGATCTGCTGATAAATATCATTGGTGCTTATTAGCTTTTATCAAGTTAGAAGGGTCCCTTCTTGCTTTGTTATCCATTTTCTTTACCATTACTAACTGTTGGCCATTGTGAAAGATGTTTTCCGTGTCTAGTAAAATAAATATGTCGTGCTCCCTCCATTACAGATGGAGTAAATCACAAAGATAGTGAACCATTTTGGGATCCCTGGAATAAACCCCAGGAGATCATGATATGCTACAGCTTTCTATACCGGGTGGAGGCCATTAGCTTTTCCCTGTGGGCATTCTCTCTGGGGACAGTAGCTGTCCTGCCTGAGTGTGTGTGAAAACCAAGCTCTGGAATGGACCGTGCAGTGGGCTTAAGGGGGTGGCATACAGACAGGGGAGGGCATCGGGGGAGGGTTCCAGAACACAAGACCATTGTCTGGATGAGAGCCACTCACTTGCTACCAGGCCTGTGGGGTCCCCTTCACGCCCTCCACCTGGCCTTGCCCCTTTCCTAGAAATTTCCAGGGGGGTACCCCAAAAGGCCCAGCCCTCAGAGCGTGAAGATGGGCTGCACTGGCGGAGCCCAAGGGAGCTGATGTGTGCACTGCCTCTGTTCATATCCTGGCCTCCCTGTGCTGGGTGGGGGTACTGCCTCTCCCACCCCCGTGCTCCTCCACCAGCTGCTGCAGGGCAGGAGGAGCCCTGTGATGTCTCAGGGATGCACGCAAGGACCCCCTCCCCAGGGGATAAAGAGCTCTCCCCACCGTTCCCCTGAGCAAGACCCAGGCACTGCTCATTAGGCACCACACTCTTACTCCCACCACGAGGGTCTCCAGGCATGGGCCGGGGAAGCAGAAAGTCCCTTCTACTGCATCGACCCCCTCAGGAGCCAGCCAGATGATCCATTTCCTAACGGGCTAAATCAGCTGAGCAGGGGTAGCTGTGCCTTAGAGCTCAGGCTCCAAACCAGTGGAAGGAGGCGGCCAGGCACAGGAGATCTGGTGGCCATCCTGTCAGCTTTGGAGCTCAAGGGCTTTAGACTTGATCGCAGGAGTACCGGTTGTCCCAGCAGCGCCATCTTGAGGCAATGAGTAGGAGTGCAAGGTCTTGCCTGGAAAAGCACCCACGGACTGCACACCTCCCGGCAGCCCTGGGGCCACTGCTGGGCTCCCCCGTCCCTTCTGCTCACGGCCCCGATGGCCGCCAAGGCACAGCACACCCACCTGGCCTCCGCAGGTTGCACAACTGGGGACGAGACCTGTGGATGAAGCAACCGCCGTTGTCCGGGAAGTCTCCTTTGCACTTTCCTAGGGACTTTCCCAGGCACCACGGCTGGCTTTGCCTTCTCCGCAGGGTTCCAGTAGGGAGACTCCGTATAAAGGCAGCCTCCTGTCCCTGGCAGGCAGCGACCGCAGCTCTGCTCCACCAGAACCCAGGTGAGGGCTCTTCCACGGAGTGATTCTTTAAAAAAATTATTGTTTTCTGTTGCCCAGCAAGATTGTTAATTTCCTTCAAAATATAATTATCCTGCGTTAGGTTTATCCTGTGAGGTCTGTGCTGGGCACAGGAGACACGTGAGGAATGCTTTCTGGTGAATTACCAGTGCTTTTAGAATTCTTTTATTAGATTTATTTATTTGAAAGGCAGTGTTACAGAGAGGCAGAGGCAGAGAGAGAGGTCCTTCCCCACTGGTTCGCTCTAGAAATGACCTCAATGATCGGAGCTGAGCTGAACCAAATCCAGGAGCCAGGAGCTTCTTCCAGGTCTCCCACGTGAGTGCAGGGGCCCAAGGACCTGGGCCATCTTCTACTGCTTTCCCAGGCCGTAGCAGAAAGCTGGATTGGAAATGGAGCAGCTGGGACTCGAACCAGTGCCCATATGGGATGCAGGCACTGCAGGTGGCAGCTTTCCCCACTATACCATTAGGCCGGCCCTGAATTACCAGTGCTTTTAAAAATGAGTTTTAGGGCCAGCGCCGCTGCTCGCTAGGCTAATCCTCCACCTGCGGTGCCAGCAATCTGGGTTCTAGTCCCGGCTGGGGCGCCGGAATCTGTCCCGGTTGCTCCTCTTCCAGTCCAGCTCTCTGCTGTGGCCTGGGAAAGCAGTGGAGGATGGCCCAAGTCCTTGGGCCCCTGCACCCACGTGGGAGACCTGGAAGAAGCTCCTGATCAGCACAACTCTGGCCATTGTGGCCATTTGGGGAGTGAACCAGCGGATGGAAGACCTCTCTCTCTCTCTCTCTCTCTCTCTCTCTCTGCCTCTACTTTGCTCTCTGTGTAACTCTGACTTTCAAATAAGTAAATACATTAAAAAAAAAAAAAAGCCACAGTCTGGTTCCAACCTCCCACTTCCTCCATCAGTGCCTCCTTGGGACCCTTGTAGAGAATCCTGGGCTCAGGGATGCGAGGATCAGAGTAGAGGGCTGTGAGGTCCTGCTGCAGAGCTCCTCGGTGAGAACACTGAGATGCCCATGGAAACAAGCAACAGCTCTCTTTGCAGGGCTGCACCTGTCCTGTCCCTGGGCGCTGACTCTGACCCTCTCCTGGCACTGCAGCACCATGAAGCTCCTCTCGGGCCTGCTTCTCTGCTCCTTGGTCCTGGGAGTCAGCAGCCAACGTTGGTTCTCCTTCATCGGTGAGGCCACTCAAGGTAAGGCTGAGGGAACAGATGGCTTCCAAAGAGCCTTAATTATGATGTTGCATAAAGTAGCACCGTGGACTGTCGAATACAACACAGGTGTGCCCACCTCAATGACTGTCGGTAGTTACCTGCAGGATCCCCCAGGAATAAGAAATGCTCCTCCTACCCACCGTATCCAGGGGGTTATGATTGTAGGTGGGTTCCCGAGTGAGTAGAAGCTCATTTATTCCTTGACTCCTCTCTGGGCTGTCTCTCAGTCTCACTGTGTGTCTGACTTTCCTATCACCCATGCATTTCCTCTCCAGGGGCATGGGACATGTGGAGAGCCTACTCCGACATGAGAGAAGCCAATTACATAAATGCAGACAAGTACTTCCACGCTCGGGGCAACTATGACGCTGCCCAAAGGGGCCCTGGGGGTGTCTGGGCTGCCAAGGTCATCAGGTAACTGGGCTCCCAGGGAGGGCAGGGCTGGGTGAGCAGAGTTCACTGCCCTGGGGCTGACAGGGGATGAGCCCTGAGCGGGGTCCAGTGGGCTGGGCCGCCCTTGACCCTGCCTGTCTGGCCCACCCTCTCCATCCAGGCCCAGTGCAGGCCTTGGGCTCATGGTAGACTCTGAGGATGGCCAGGGAAGCTGGGCCAACCTGCTCCTGAAAAGGAAAACCAGGACCACGAGTGATGCCCAGCCCCGCCTCCCTCTGCTGCTCATGCAGCCCAAGGGGCACCAGTGGGGCTGAGCGGGGCTGTCCCAGCAGGGTCAGGGCTTTGGCCCCTTCTTCCCGGGCTGTCCTGGGCTCCCCTCAGAGCCCACCTTGCCAAGGGCTGATTGGGGAGTGGCTGTGGCTCAGTGGCTGCCGCTGACTCCCCTTGCTGCTGCCTGGATTCCAGTGACGCCAGAGAGGACCTTCAGAGACTCATGGGCCACGGAGCAGAGGACTCGATGGCTGACCAGGCTGCCAACGAATGGGGCCGCAGTGGCAAAGACCCCAACCACTTCCGACCCAAGGGTCTGCCCGACAAATACTGAGCTCCCTGCTCTGCTGCCCCTGAGGACTGGGACCCAGAGTGCTGAGTCCCGTGTGCGTGAAGCTGGTGGCGGGCACACAACTGGTGTCTAATAAATGTGTATGAGACTGAATCTGTTGAAACTCTGCTGTCCTTTGTGGTGGGGCCTGCCTGTTTGGTACAAAGGATGATCCGTGCACACCACGGTGAAGGTCAATGCTGGGCCTGAGTGTTTGGTTGGCGGAGATGACCTCCGTGTCACACAGGGAGGGCATCTGCAGAATCAAACCTGCTTGGCTCTCAAGGACCACGCGGTGGCAATGCTGCTATTCCCAGGCCCTCACATGCCAGAACTCCACACTCCCTGCCAACTGTGTCCTGTCACTTTCTGTGCCCCCATGGTCTCAGTCCACAGGGGTCTGTGTCTCTGAGCAAAGAAGACACAGCCACTCTGCTGCTGCCTCTTGGTCTGCTGTTCATTTCTCAGCAGCACCTGCAAATTCCTTCCATTTCTGTCTATTCTATCACGCAGATGGCTCCCAAGCACTCTCAGTCGCCCTAGCTTCATTGTCTTTTTTTTAAGCACAGTGAAAATGCTGTGTCACCCACTGTGGATATGTCTTATGCTTTCTGCAGCTTGAGTCAATTGAAATCATGGATGTTACAGGCATGAGAGTGCAGGATAGAGCTGTCCCCTTGCAATAGTCTGGGAGCACGTTCAGAACAAGAATGCAGGTGTAATTTTAAAGATTTATTTATTTGTTTGAGAGGCAGAGTTATAGAGGCAGAGAGAGAGGCAGAGAAAAAAGAGAGAGAAAGAGATCTTCCATCCACTGATTGACTCCCCAAATAGCCGCAATGGCTGGAGCTGTGCTAATCTGAAGCCAGGAGCTTCTTCTGGGTCTTCCACATGGGCGTAGGGGCCCAAGGACTTGGAACATCTTCTACTGCTCTCCCAGGCCATCAGCAGGAAGCTGGATCAGAAGTGGAGCAGCCAGGGCTAGAACCAGTGCCCATATAGGATGCCAGCACTGCAGACAGCAGCTTTACCAAGTACGTCACAGCACAGGCCCCCTGCAGACATAATTTTATAACCAAAATTTTTATACTGGGCATTGTAGACTGTAACAAGATTAAGGATCAAGGGCAAAGAATACGAGGAAGTTACAGTTTGTAAAAAAGCCCCCTTTGGAGACTGAGATTGCCTGAATTTGTCGCTCGTTGGGTGGCAAATGACCTGAGCTAGGTGCCACAAGCCTCCACTGACAAGCATGAGCCCCGCTGAGCTGCCTGCGAGATTCGACATGACGCTGCCCAGGAGGGCACTTGGACTCACCGAGCTGCAGCTGTGGTTCTGCAAACTTGCCTGGAAGCTGCCCACAAGGGAGCAGGAGCTAGGATTCCCCGGAAAAAGTTCTCAGGAATGCATCGTGTCCCCCAAAACCCACATATCGAAGGCCTAATCCCACGTATGGCTCTACTGGAAGTAGGGAAGTGACTATGGATAGGTGAGGTGACAGTGGGTGAGCCCTGGTCCCGTAGCCCTGTAAGAGGACAGGGGAGGACTCCCTCTCTGTCTCCTCCATGTGAGCGCACGGTGTGAAGTTTGCACGTCAGGCAGAGGATTCTCACCAGGAAGCCGCCCAGCCTGCACCTTGACCCTGGACATCTCCACTTCCAGAGTGGTGAGGTGTAAGTGCCTGTGCTAAGTACCCAGTCTGTGATATTCTGTTGTGGCCCCCGGAGCTGACAAGGAGGAGCAGTGCAAATCCAGTGGAGGTACCACAGAAATTTGGGGGGAGCTGCCGTGGCCTATGAGCACCACTGAAAGTGCCCGTGGCGAGGGCCGCTCGGGGTTTCCTTCTAGTCCTGCCAGTGGCCTCTGCTGATCAAACTTGACATTGTGCCTCTCTGGCATGGGAGAAACACAGGTCCCGGCCCAGGAGTGCAAACAGGAAAAGAAGGGGCGATGTGGGTGTAACACCTGCAGACACTACCACCACAAAGTTGGCGCGAAGAGGACTCCCGGGAGAGAATCACAGCTAAATTTACACCGACGGGAAAAGACAAGTTGAAGCTCCCAAGGGAGGAGGAAGACAAAGCGTGAACAGGAAGTGGAGGTGCTCACAGCAGAGGGCGGGGGCAGAAGTGTGGGCGGAGGAGGGCTCAGTGAGTGGTAGAGAACTGAACCAGGAGAAATGAAAGGGGCTGGACAAGACAGATGGGGTTGGGGAGACAGCGGTGGCAGGGGGCTGGTGAGAGCAGGCTCAGAGCACTGCTGAGCGCAGGCGTCAGGACTCCATCTGTTGTGGTGAGAATGCCCGTGGTTAGTATCTGCGGCACATGCTGAAGCTCTCAACTTTTGTGAAATGCAGTGAAAGACAGCAGGAGTCAAGGAAAGAATGCCTTGTAAGCTTGCCAGCAGCTGGCATTGCGGTGCAGCCACAGGATAAGCCGCTGCCTGCACACCACCACCCCGTGTTGGAGCGTCGGTTTGAATCCCTGCTGCTCCACTTCAGATCCAGCTCCCTCCTAACGCAGCAGAGAGGGCAGTGGTCGATGGCCTGAGCACTGGGCACCTGGTACCCATTGGGGAAACCAAGATGGAAGTTGCTGGCTCCTGGCGTTGTCCTGGCCCAGCCCTGGCTATTGTGGCCATTTGGGAAGTCTGCCATTCTCTCACTGTCTTTAACTTAAAAATCAACTTTCCAAATTTCTGCAAATCGGAAATTTGGAAAGTCAGCATATTATTACTGGCAATTGTGGGGAGCAACTGAGACTAGACTAAGTTACTGGAATTAAGACTTATTCTATGCATCTGCTCTCCCACAATATGGCGCTGAGAGAGAGCGCAAACAACCTCTACGCAGCTGCCTCATCAGTCTGATAAGCTGCAGGAGCTGATCCTGCTCCTGATTGGAGGAGAGCAGCGTACTCGGCGTGTGGGTAGCAGAGTTGGGATTGGTGGAAGAGGACTATAAAGGAGGAGAGAGACAACATGCACCTCCACGGAGGTGGAGGGGGCCGGCAGCTAACCCGGGACAGCGTCAGCGTTGTTCCTCCACGAGTGAGGCCGGCAGCTAACCCGGGAAGAGCCGGGCAGAAAGAACAGTGCAGGGTCTAGTGTCGTTCCTCCGTGAATGGGGGAGCAACAGCAATAATACTAGGATGGAGAAGTCCATCCACTAGCTTGCAAACGACCAGAGCACTTCATTTGCTGGAACCTTAATAATAATAATAATAATAATAATAATAATAATATCAGAGTAAGTGTTGCTTGGCTTGCCCAGGAATTTAAGACTGAGAGAATCACTCACTCTTTCTGTGCTTTGACGAACCCAAACCACTGTGATCCGTGGCCATGCTTTCCTTAACAGGAAATTCCATGCGTCGGGCTCCCTTTTTTTGGAATTGGCTTAGGAAGTGGGGAGCTTCCCCCAAGGACACACAACGTGTCAGAGGCAGCAGGAGGCTCCTGAAACTTGATCATGATGTCCGCACGCCTATGCTTCCTGAGAGAGCTTCTTCCTGGAAATTTCCTTGAAGGCAGTTCTTAGACTGGACAGATATTGAGTGATATTTGAACTTCCAGGTGATGCTGAGAAATGAACAGGAGATTAGCGTGGCAGCAGTGGAGCAGGTTTCCATGGCCCAGTAGTCCACAAATGTGTGCCCTGTCCCCACGGGCAGAGACCACTGAGACCTAAGGCCCTGGGGCCACAGAAGGTGACAGGACACCACTGACAGGGAGTGAGGAGGCCTGGGCATGAAGGGCCTGGAAACAGCAACAGTGCAGCCACCTGGGCCTGGAGAGAGCAGCTCTGACTCAGGTGAGTGGGTGCAGGGGTTTTCGCTCTGTAGCTACTGAGATCATCTCTCCCTGGCCACACTCAGGCCCAGCCTTGACCTTCTCCTTGGTGTTCGTGGATCACCTTTTTTTTTTTAAAAAAAAAAAAAAGATTTATTTATTTGAAAGGCAAAGTTACAGAGAGGCAGAGAAAGAGAGATCTTCCATCTGCTGGTACACCTCCCAAGTGGCTGCAACAGCCAGAGCTGTGCCGATCTGAAGCCAGGAGCCAGGAGCTTCTTCTGGGTCTCCCATGTGGGTGCAGGGGCCCAGCATGCTCCACTGCTTTCCCAGGCCATAGCAGAGAGCTAGATCAGAAGAGGAGCAGCCGGGACTAGAACCAGCGCCTATCTGGGATGCCAGCACTGCAGGCAATGATTTTACCCACTACGCTACAGCATCAGCCCCAGTGATCACCTTTTGTACGAGACAGGCAATCCTCACCACAAAGAACAGCAGAGTTTCAACAGATTCAGTCTTATACGCATTTATTAGACACCAGTTGTATGCCCGCCACCAGCTCACGCACACGGAACTCAGTACTCTGGGTCAGTCCTCAGGGGCAGCAGAGTAGGGAGCTCAGTATTTGTCGGGTAGGCCCTTGGGTCGAAAGTGGTTGGGGTCTTTGCCACTGCGGCCCCATTCGTTGGCAGCCTGGTCGTCCATCGAGTCCTCTGCTCCGTGGCCCATGAGTCTCTGAAGGTCCTCTCTGACGTCACTGGAATCCAGGCAGCAGCAAGGGGAGTCAGCGGCAGCCACTGAGCCACAGCCACTCCCCAATCAGCCCTTGGCAAGGTGGGCTCTGAGGGGAGCCCAGGACAGCCCAGGCAGGAGGGGCCGAAGCCCTGACCCTGCTGGGACAGCCCCGCTCAGCCCCACTGGTGCCCCTTGGGCTGCATGAGCAGCAGGTGGGGGGGGCCTGGGCATCGCTCGTGGCCCTGGTTTTCCTTTTCAGGAGCAGGTTGGCCCAGCTTCCCTGGCCATCCTCAGAGTCTACCATGAGCCCAAGGCCTGCACTGGGCCTGGATGGAGAGGGTGGGCCAGACAGGCAGGGTCAAGGGCGGCCCAGCCCACTGGACCCCACTCCAGGGCTCATCCCCTGTCAGCCCCAGGGCAGTGAACTCTGCCCACCCAGCCCTGCCCTCCCTGGGAGCCCAGTTACCTGATGACCTTGGCAGCCCAGACACCCCCAGGGCCCCTTTGGGCAGCGTCATAGTTGCCCCGAGCGTGGAAGTACTTGTCTGCATTTATGTAATTGGCTTCTCTCATGTCAGTGTAGGCTCTCCACATGTCCCCTGCCCCTGGAGAGGAAATGCATGGGTGATAGGAAAGTCAGACACACAGTGAGACTGAGAGACAGCGCAGAGAGGAGTGAAAGAATCGATAAGCTTCTCTTGACTCAAGATTTTAGCCCTGGATCATAGCGCCCTGGGGCACCCTGGGTTGAGAGGAACAACCCTTCGTCTCAGTGGGCTTCTCTATTTCACTCTACCAGGAGTCACGTAGGTGGGTGCAGCTGTGTTGCATGGGTCGCCTGCTGTGGTGCTGTGTGCTGCATCTTACTAAGATGGGCTCTGTGACGTGTTTCATGGTGACCCTGTGCCTGGCTGGCTAGGAGACTGCCTGCCTAGCCCATGCGGGAGGTTAGGAGGGCATGGCACACCATGCCTCCCCGGAAGGACTCTATGACCTGACCGCTGGCAGGTGGCAGGAGCCCCACGCACACCCCCCCCTTCCTGTTGAAGGGCCTTGTAATTGTCCATCAGGTAAACAGCTCGCGGGTGTGGCCAGACCCATATGACCACCTGGGAGGCTCCATAGGCTACGTGATCTTCAAGCTGATTGGAGAAGCATTGCGGCGCCAACATCAGCTTTATCCTACAGAATCAGTGTTGCCCTGAACTAGCTACTCCCCTCTGCCTGCCCTTCAACAGCCTCTGCCGGGTTGTTAATAAATGGACATGTCCACCGAAAACTTGTCTCTGGTGCTTCTTATCGAAGAACGCCGTCACCCCACCATGCCCACAGTGCAGGCCTCGCTGGATGGGCCCTCAGTGTTTAAAGATGATGGAGGAAAAATTGTGAAAAAACAAGATCTCTCAACTTTAGCACTGTTGAAATACTGGGCCGGATAAGTCTTCGTCTTCCAGGACTGTCCTGAATACTGTAGGTGTTTGCAAGCATCCCTGGCTTCCGCTACCACTTGCTGTCAGCACATTCACCCTGTGGGACATCCAAACACACCTCTGGACTGTGTGCAGTGAGCCCTGGGCCGCCACACTGCCGTAGAATGAAGCCACATAGGGGGAGGTCCAGGCAGTGACCGAGTGGAGTGGGGATGCAGAAGGCAGAGCCTGAGAAGAACTGCACAGCTAGAGAACACTTCCGCCCTGGCTCTCCTTGCAGACGGAACGCACAGAATCGTGGCTTGCGTCGTGCCTCCGACGACGAGGGCCACTAATGTCCTGAAAATCTAAGTAGATGTGCTGATGCTGCAAGCTGACTGAGGAAGCAGTGACGCAATTCTTCCCGGCTGGGCTGCACTTGCTGACCTCCTGGAGAGTTACTGAGCAGCCTAAGGGCCAGGTCATGAGCCAGACTCTTGGGCGGGGGTGGGGTGGGGGTGGGGGTTCCAGGTGAGGGTAGTTTTCAGGAGCTGCAGGTGACTTTGCCGCAGGCTGACGCTGACAACCTCTGGGCTTTAGGAGGTGCTAGGGGATAGACCTGGCAAGGCCTTAAGCCTCATGCACCTCTGCGTTCCAACCTCAACTCAGCTACGCCCTCCCGGCTGCAACTCCCTGGGCAATGGACCCAGGTGCTCTAAGCCTCAGTTTTCTCACCTTAAAGTGGGAGCAGACACTTGCCTCACAGATTTATTCTGCTAGAAATGAACAAACTGACAGGTCCTTGTGGGGACTTGATGGGTGTTGGTTCCCACTTCCTGTCACCAAATCAGGAAGGGCAGTCACAGAGAGAGTCAGGCCAGGCCTGTTTAAATGACCCAGCCAGGAAACCGGAAGAAGGAAGAAGACTTAAGTGCTAGTGCAGCCCTTTAATTACACTTTTATGGGGTTTGCTTGGATGGACATTTTATATCAATTTTAGGCCTACGAGAGTGCCTCAAAAGGTGTATGAAAAAATTAAAACATGTCTATCTTAGAGGACAAAGTTTTGAAATGCATGCATTCAGAAAATGCACGGAGCCAGCGCTGCAGCTCACTAGGCTAATCCTCCGCCTGCGGCGCTGGCACACCGGGTTCTAGTCCCGGTTGGGGCGCCGGATTCTGTCCCTGTTGCCCCTCTTCCAGGCCAGCTCTCTGCTGTGGCCTGGGAAGGCAGTGGAGGATGGCCCAAGTGCTTGGGCCCTGCACCCGCATGGGAGACCAGGAGGAAGCACCTGGTTTCTGGCTTCGAATTGGTGCAGTGCATCAGCCGTAGTAGCCATTTGCAGGGTAAACCAATGGAAGGAAGACCTTTCTATCTGTCTCTCTCTCTCACTGTCTAACTCTGCCTGTAGAAAAAAAATGCACGGAAATGCACATTATGAGAAAACTACGCATAGAATTCAAAATTTTTTGGCACCAAAATAAATTTATCTTTTTATTGCAATTGTCCATGGACTTTAGGAAGTATCCCCATCTTTTTATCTTCTACCTAACACAAATGGCTTAGCTTTCCTGGGAAAGATAATTGTGTTTTCTCTGAGTCATTGATTGATGTGAATCCTAACCCTAAGCTCCTGAAACACCTGGCCCATTCTGCCACACTGGACAGCACCATGTACCCCTGAAATCACACCTTACGGAGGCCCCAAGTCCTCTGGGGCTGTGGCCAACTCCCTTCCCTTTCCGAATGCCAGGACTCTGAGTTGTTTGATAAATAAGAGCGATGCCTCGCACACACGTGAGAAACCCTGCCCTCGGGGAAAGCACATACTACAGCAGCCACGAGGTGTCTGTCGATGGGGCGGCAGCAACCCAGCAAACCCTTAGTCCCATCCAGTCCTGCACACCTCTGAAAGTTTAAACGCTGCCTCAGAAAGCAGAACTGTGCCATATCGTTAGGTGGGTGCAGTCTCGTTCCTCTCCAGAAAATCCTTTCTCCCTTCCAGATCCCCTGCGGAGCCTCCAGGGGCCCTAACTCCCATGGATGGAGGGCAGGGATAAGTGTTTTCCCACTGGGCCACCTGGGAGCAGCCCAGAGCCACGGGGTGACCCAGAGCCCTGGTGTCCTGACCTGATCTGAGAACATCACTGGCTACTTCTCCTGGGCCTCAGCACCCCAGAGACAGGGGCCAAGACCTCGCTGGCCAGTGGCGAATGGGCTAGAGGAAAGGCAGGCTCTTGCTCGGCCTGCATGGCTTCTCCAGGCGCCACTCACAGCTGCTTGGGCTGGAAACTACCCGAGGGCAGATCCTCGTGGTCCAGGGATGCCTTTCCCTCCCCTTTCAGCCTTACCTCTCACAGCCTCACCGATGAAGGAGAACCAGCCTTGGCCGCTGACTCCCAGGACCAAGGAGCAGAGAAGCAGGCCTGAGAGGAGCTTCATGGTGCTGCAATGCAAGGAGAGGGTCAGACACACATGGACAGGACCGGCCCCAGCCCCTTGGCATCCGTGTTCCAAAGACAGCCTGGTGGTTACTTGTGTTGGTTCTCGGAGGAGTCTCCGTGGTTCCTCCAGGAGCTCCTGCAAAAGGTCCCCTCTCAGACCCACAGCCCTCAGCTCTGGACCATAGCCCTGAGTGCCAGAATCTAAGAGAATCCCAAGATGGCCTTGCCGGAGCAAGAGGGGGAAGGACCACATTGTCACTCCCTGAAGAGCCCTACAACTCACCGGAAAGCTTTACCCACAGGGGCCCCTGTGCCCAGCCCAGACCTCACTCAGGATAAAGACAGGCAGGACAGTTGCATTGCAAGGGCACAGAAAACAGAGTAAGGTTTTTGTTTGTTTTTTAAAGAGTCACCCCATGGAGGAGCCCTCACCTGGGTTTTGGTGGAGCAGCTCTGTGGTCGCTACCTGCTAGGGACAGGAGGCTGCCCCTTTATACTGAATGCCCCTGTTGGGACCTTGGGGAGAAGGCAAAGCCAGCCTTGGTGCCTGGAAAGCCCCTCAGGTCATTTCCCCTAGGAAAGCACAGAAGAGGCTTCCCGGACATGCATGGTTTCTTCATCCGCAGATCCCGTCCCCAGTTGTGCAACCTGTGGAGGCCAGGCTCAGGGTGTATGTGCTGTGCCTTGGCGGCCATGGGGGCTGTGGGTGGAGAGGAAGGGGGAGCCCAGTGACGGTGTTGTCTGAGGATGGCTCTTCCAGGCAGGACCTCGCTCTGCCGGTCACTGCCCTAGGGTGGCCCCACTGGGACACCCAGCAGACGTGTCAGAGGTTAAGTCCCCCTGTGTTCATGTCTAAAGTCCTTGAGCTCTAAAGCTGACAGGCTCGCCCTCCCCCTGCTCCGTCTCTCGTGTCCTGGATGCTACATCGTACTGCTCTGTGTGGCTGTGGGAAGCCTGGAGTTCTAAGATGCAAAAACCCTGGCTCAGAGGCTTGGCCCATCAGGAAGAACAGAAAAACAGGAAAGTTGAGGGCAGGCATTTCAGCAGTGGCTAAGGCCCTGGTTGGGTGCTCATAGCCCACGATGGGGTACCTGGGTTCAAGTTCCCGACTCCAGCCTCCTGCTAACGCATACCCTGGGCGGCAACAGGTGGTAGCTGAAGCAGTTGGGTCCTTGCCACCCATACAGGAGACTTGAGTTGCAGTCCCATTTCCTGGCCTTGCTGTGGGCATCTGGGGAGTGGATTAGCAGATGAGCGATCTCTGCTGTCCCTCTGCCTTCCTCTCTCCCTCCTCATTAGCGTGGAAGTGTCATGGCATGAGCTGTATTTGCCTGGCAACCATGTGCTGGCACATAAATGAGTTTGGTGAATATATATATATATATATATATATAGACAGGCAGAGTGGACAGTGAGAGAGAGAGACAGAGAGAAAGGTCTTCCTTTGCCGTTGGTTCACCCTCCAATGGCCGCCACAGCCAGCGCACCGCACCGATCCGAAGGCAGGAGCCAGGTGCTTCTCCTGGTCTCCCATGGGGTGCAGGGCCCAAGGACTTGGACCATCCTCCACTGCACTCCCTGGCCATAGAAGAGAGCTGGCCTGGAAGAGGGGCAACCGGGACAGAATCCGGCGCCCCGCCTGGGACTAGAACCCAGTGTGCCGGCGCCGCAAGGCGGAGGATTAGCCTAGTGAGCCGCGGTGCCGGCGAATATATTTTTCTAAGAGAAGAAGCAAAAATAAGAAAGGTTGAAGACATTCTAGGTGAGCCTGTGCTACAGCAAAATCTCCTTTTTTCTCTGCTTTCTGACTATACTACACGGGTTTATGGACTTGTGCCTGTTTACTGGGCCAGGCCGAACACAAGGCACAAGGCAGACTGAGGAGAGACACTGGATGGGTAAGTACAGACTGGGGAGGAGTGGTGATCATTCTTGGGGTGTGTTCAGAGAAGGCTTCACGAGGGAGGTGGTGTGAGACCACGTGGAGAACTGACAAGGGGTGAGCAGCGGTGCTGGGGAGGCAGTGTCCAGAGAGCAGCAGGCACCAAGGCCCACGGGTGGACGATTGGTGGACACTACAGTGGACGAACTCCCTTTGGCAGCTGTCTGAAAGCAAGAACAGAACAGAGCTTGAAACCCGATGCCGGGCCTCTTTGTACTCTGACAGGGCCAGTTCCACGCTCGCTCGCTCGGGGTGGCCTTGCAGTTGCTGCTGGAGGCTGGTGGCTGAGTCCCACCAGCTCCCCCCAACCTCTCCCAGGTTCATTCTGTCAGGCAGAGCCCAGCAGGCGGCAGGGAGGCCCCAGCCTCAGTCAACAGCATTGGGGAGGAGCCACGGAGCTAGGTGTAGGCAGGCAGGCATGAGGTCAGGGCTGCAACTTGGGGGCATTACCTAGCAGGAGAGGGCTGTCGCTGCGAGAGGGCTGTGGGCTTTGCAAGAAGCATGAGCACAAAGCCAGTCAGGCGTCCACTTCCTTAATCTAACAGCGGGGCCTTTTGCACTCCCTCGGACTTGCTTGCTGAGTAGAAGAAAGGAGAGGGAAATCCCTTCTCCCGCACCGGCTGGTTGGAGTGAGGACAGGAAGTAAAGGGCAGGAGACTTTTCACCCCTGAGTCCTCTCTCTGATTTTATTTATTTTAGGGGAATAGGAAGAGAGTGAGAGGGGTGTTGGTACCCAGGGCTTTTTGTTCTTAGTGGACACACGGTCTCAGTACAATTTGTGACACCCTGCTTTCTATTTTCTTTCAACACTCTTTTTTGTAGGCACACTTTTTTCTGTTTTCTATTTGGAATCTGATTTTACCATCCAATGAGTATGAGGCTTATGTATGTATCATCCTTTTCTCCCCAATTTCAAGTCTCATTTTCATGAAGGCACTGTCTGGATCTTGTAATCTGTCCTCCCTACATTGCCTGCCCAAAACAGCACAGAAGGTGTTGCCTGGAGGGCTCCTGATGAGTGGCTGATGAATGAACAAATATATGTCACGCGTGCATGCTGACATTTCACACAGGGACGGACAGCTGACATGATGGTGGTCGCGTGAGATGAAAAATGGAGCTGGAAATTCCTATGCCTAGTGACATTGTAGCCGTCACAGTGTCCTAGTGCAAGGCGTTAAGTGACATCTTGGCGGTGATGCTGGCGTGAAGTGACCTGCTGTGCTGCCAGTGGAATAAAAGCGTGGCACACACAGTGATGCACAGTGCTTAGTCAGAGTCGATGATAAAAGATGACGCTGCTGGGGCTTGCATGTACAATGCTGCATTGTTATCATTTAGCGTGCATGACAGCGCGCTGTCTACCACCAGCAGCCTCTGCAGTTTGCCAGTCGCAGCAAGGTTCACGTCATGGGATCGACGTGTGTTGTCTAGGTTGGTGTAAGGACATGTGCGCTATGGCGTTCCCACAAAGACAAAATCATTTAATGATACACTTTTAAGAATGTTTCCATGTTGCTAAGTAACACATGACTGGAAATGAGAATGTCATTCTAGAAAATTCTGAAACCCAGAATAACATGAACCATCCCACTATCTAGAAACGTGGACACCACTTCATGTGCAACACTCTGGGCTGTGTTTCACCCCGGGAAGGTCTTTGAACAACACGGGCATCATATTCTGTATGACTCTCTCCCTTAGCACATTACCAGTGCTTCTCCAGGTCATCAAATGTCCCTCACCCCTCAGTCACAGCAGATCCAAAGTCAGTCCAGATCCAAAGGCACTTCTAGGCCGTGCCACTCCCGGGTCCAAGGGCTGGGTTCCGGGATCTGTGATGGGAACTCCGTGTCCCGACCTCTACTGGAAAGGCATTCTGGTGTTACATCAGGGAACTTGCTGCCAGAGGTAAGTGTGGAAAGATGGAATGGGCCAAAGTCCAGGCTTCCCTTGCCAGAAGCTAGGAATGCTGGGACCATGGCATTCTCCTAAGCCAGATTACCCCAGCTGCCCTCGTCTTTTCCAGGAGTGGCTACGATGCCGGAAGAGAGCATTTGCGAGATGCAGAGGCAAGGAGCTGGAGCAGAAAGAGAACTGGCCAAGTAGCTATTAGATAATTCCATAACTAGTATTGGGACTATTTTCTATTGTGCAGGTATATTTGGTGGACTGTTAAATAGATGTTCAAGTTATTCTCATAATATTTGTGAAAATTAGATAGGAAGGGATTATTTTTATCTCATAAAGAAAATAATTGCTATTCACAAAGATTTGCTATCACCAAAGCAAGCTTTTGACTTAGCAGGGAAGTCATTGCCCAGGACACCACGCCCCCTGCCGCGGGAGTGCCTGGTTTGAGTCCTGGCTCTGCTTCCAGTCCAGCTTCCTGCTGATGCACACCTGCGAGCACTCAGGTACTCGGGTCTCTGTCACCCACTTAGGAGACCTGTGGTCGGTTCTGGGCTCCTGGCTTTGGCCTGGCCCACATGTGTGTATTGCAGTCATTTGAGAAGTGAACCAGCTGATGGAAAATCTCATCTCTCTCTTTCTCAAAACCATTGGTACCCTACCCTTAAGAACAATAGCTCCCCTACAGGAATAAGAGACGCAGATAACGAGGGTGTCGCTGTTTGTGCGATCCACTCCCTTAGTGGTCGCTGTGACATAAGCATGAGGCAGAGCTGGTCCAGCACACACGAAGGGGTGCACACCGGTGTCTTCCAGACGGACGATGAACACTGTGGCTACAAGCACAACAGGACACATAGGGTTTCTGTTGTTCACTTATATTTCCACTGCACCTTGCAAGGGTTATTTACAAAGCTTATCTTGTAGGGTAACCAGACTCCAGAAAATACAGACTCCAGAAAAAAGAAATAACCAGACTCTGGAAATACAAACTCGCTTGTGCTTCCTGTACTTAAGTCTCCCAAACAGAAGTCCCTGGCTCTGGTAAGAACGTTCTGATGGACAGAACTGACCACAAACAAATGTGGCAAATGGCATAAACACACACACAAACACAACATCTCTGCAGAGTCCAAAGGAAATCTTGGCAAATCTCTTCTCCCAAGGGTTAGATATCTTACTCAAACTGAGAATCTGAGTGAGAGTCTCTATCCTGTGTATTAGCAAATAATGACCAGACAGTTGGCTGTGCAAGCAGGGAAGGTTAAAGAAAGAATCGTATTCTCTGGCGAGTCCCTATAGCATCCAGCAAGGAAAGCAGTAGAGTTTTACTTCGTGTGGCTTCAGACCCGCATCAGTCCATCTCCTCATTCTGTCCGTAGAGGGTCGGCAACAATGTCACCTTGTCTAGGCAGAACCACATTCTGCAGGCTTCTCTTCTAGAATGTTCTGTATCCACAAGTCCCGAGAGGTACTTTCTCTCGAGAGCTGGAGGCTGTCATTTATTTACAGGCTTCTCCGAGTGGCTCTGCTGTGACCCCAGGCACCCATGCTCTGCAGAGCCTGGCAGTCCTTGCTGATATTTCTGTCTCACAGTGACAATGGGGCA